CACCCCCGACACAACCCTGTCTCAAGACACCTGTGATGTGTGGAGCTATTCCTGATACAGCGTATGTAGCTGATAGTCCTGGGCACAGCCGGACAGGGCTGGTGCCGCTGGGGTTCTGACTGACCCACCTCTAGCCTGGTCTTCACACTGTGGCTGGCTGAGACTACCTTCTTCAAAGTTACTGTCACTTACCAACACCACCTGACATCTGATAACACCCACCGTCACAGCACATAGCAGGACCACATTTGTTCATCCACTCACTCAACTCACTCACTCACTCACTCACTCACTATGGACCAAGTGCCTATACCAGGCAAAGCATTCTTCCTAGGCCCTTTCTCCCCAAGACCTGGAATTGAAGAAGAAAACCTTGCCTATGCCATGCATATTAATGCTATGGTCCCAGCTACCACGAGGCTATGCTCAAGAATCAGAGTCCAGCTGGGTGGTGGTGCACAACTTTAACTCTAGCACTAGAGAGTCAGAGGCACGAGGATCTCTGTGAATTTCAAGGCCAACCTGGTCTACAGAGTGAGTTCTAGGACAGCGAGGGCTACACAGAGAGATCTGTCTCAAAAAACCAAAAGAGTAAGAGTCTAGCTGAGGCAGTATCATGAAACCTTACAAGAGAAAGGGAAAGTCCCACCCAAGAACCAAGAACTTTCCTGGGAATTTCAAAATGTCCTGTGTTAGTGGCCTTTGTTTTATTTCCTTGGGTTGGTGTTTTGTGTGTGTGCCACCGTGGAGCAGGGAATCACACACAATAAACACATATGCCACTGCTGACCTATGCCCCAGCCTGGCCTGGTTTTTGTTGTTGTTGCTTCAGGTTTTTTATTGTTTTGTTTATTAATGTGAATATGTGTATGTGTGTTCATATGTATGCAGGCCCATACACACATATGTAATTGGAGACTGAGGGACAACCTGAGAAAATTCAGGAACACAATCCACTACAAGTGTGTACCACCACACCAACTGGGATTTTGGGGGTCAAATTCAAGTCCTGATGCTGGCAAGTGTTTTACCAAATGAGCCAACCCCATCTTGCCCTGTGTCTTGCTTGGACAGTGGTAACCTTCAGATCCATCTTCACGGAACATATACTTCTCAGTCCCTCCATTCATGCATGTCTGTCTGCACTGCATGGTAGACTCCAAGAGCTAGCTAGAAGGTAACAAGCCCTTCAAGAGGCCTCTCCTGTCCTTTCTGCTCCCTTATTGACCAACTGGTTTGTTAAGAGAACACATGCCCCATCTAAGACAGAGATAGCCCTGTTCTGCCCCAATTGAGCATCAATTTTCTAATCTGTAAAACAAGGGCATCTTCACATACTCAGGAGGTCCAGTTCTCAGTAGAGGAACAGGACCTAACAGTCAACAGGGCAAAGAGGATACAGAACAAAGAAGCCTTTACACAGGTGCACAGTCCCGTGCCCACTGCCGCTCCTGGGCTCTCTAAGGATGCTTAGCAGGGGCCCCTGCACATAGAACTTGATAAAAACTCAGACTACTGAGAATCCAGTGACATCACCCACCCCTTCAGTTACAGGGGAGAGAGAAGTGTAGAGAGACGGAAGAATGTTTGAGTTCCTACTCTGGGCCAGGTACTCCCAAACAGGAACAGCTTGACAAGACTATCAAGAAGCAAGCCATGTCAGGGAAGGGTCCTTATCCATGCTAGACAGACAACAGGGTGAGTAGGTCTACGCCAGCAGATGGGGTCTGGGCCAAGCCCAATCTGAGGCCACCATACTGATGAGCTAGACTGAGCTCACTTATGTGAAGCAGAGGCCCCAGTCCACAAATGAAGACCCTGAACTAGGCTAGTTCTTACTGAGTCCAAATCTACCCGACCACAATGCTGCCACTTCTCAGACCACTATTTCAACTCAGGTGTACTCACCTGCTCCAGAGGAAGGAAAGGACACTGACGTTGAGGGCCACAGGCATGCAGAGACTATATAACAGACTTCGAGTCTAGGTCTACACAAACATCAAACTACTGTTCCAGTGCCTTTCTCTGCTCCATCAAAAAGCCAAGGGCAAAGCTGCCATCACTAACCCATTCTTCAGCAGAGCACACTGAGGCTTGGAGCAAACCCAGCTCCTGGCCAAGCAGCCAATCAATGTATCTGTGTTTTCTGGGCACAAACCCCAGCCCCCCTTCTTGCAGCCAAGTAGCTTCAGGACCCAGCTCTGAACATTCAGGCTTTGGTTTCCCCTCTGTAAAAGCAAAGTGCTCTCTACCCTGGCTCCTTCCTCCTAACAAGGACTGAGACACACTCCCTGGCTCTATCCCAGCTGCAGGCCCTCTTCCCCAGCTGGCAACTAGCACCCTGGCTGGCACAACCCAGGGCCCTCTCACCCACTCATAGAGGCCAACTTTTGGGTCAAAGGGCTCTATACCATCCACGAACACAACACTAAAGGCCCACAATGCTCTCACTTGAGCTGGAGCATGGGCCAATTGCCTTTCACTGGGCCTCAGTTTCCTTCTCTGAAAAAAATGAAAGGATTAGCCTTTTGGCAGCCCTGCTTGAGGCTTTGCCCAACAGAGCATGTATCAACACTGCCTACTGACGGATGCTCAGGCAAGAGGTGAGTTACTGCAAGATGGACTTCCCTATGGCCATGGACAGTAAAAAAACAAAACCAGGTTCAGTTTTCTGGACACTTGTGGGCTCTCCAGGTTTAATCATAGGAACTTCCACCTCTCATGCCAACTTACCATTAGCCTATTTGCTAAATGGGAAAACTCGGGCCAAAAAAGAAAAACTGACAGCTTGGATAGCCCACCTTCCACCTGCAGGATCCAAATTACCCAATTAGAGCCACCAAATAGGTCAGACTCCAGGGTGGACAGGACACTGGCCCTCCTCTGTTTCTTTTCCAGGCCCTGCCCAGAGAGGAAGCAAAGGATGTGGAGAAAGTTATCCAATTTGCAAGGTGCTGTTGTCGGTCCCTAAGCAGGATAGCTAACCTAAGGGTGGACTGCCAACTCCCGACCCAAGGTGGGCTGTCTGTCTCCTCTGTTAGAAGACCGTACTAAGATCCGCTGCAGAGACCCTGGCAAAGTAAGAGTGCAGGGTCCTCCCCAATGTACCTTCAAATGTGCAATCCATGGTTTCGTCGTCTGCGCCCCGCCCCTAGGGCGTGCAGTCGCTGCCCCGACTGCGTCCACACCAACTTCACCTGTCAGGCCCC